AATGATCGATTTTATCAAGAATTGTCTATAGATAGTTGAACATAATGGAATTATCGATTTTATAAAGAAGTTTTTTTTTATTAGATAGACGTCTACGCTTGTTGGTATGCTGCGTTCAAATAGAACAATGAACTGTGATATTGGGTCCACTCCACTAAAAAACTAAGTTAAAAATGCCTATTAAACATACAATACCAGCCTTGGGTATCATAACACAGTAATACAACCAGATGTCTACCATGGTTATGATTCAGATGTACAGGTCTAGCTATTCTAGACCTAACTAAATTTGAATGAAAATGAGAATGAGAAACTCTTTGTCTTATTTAATCAACATGTTATGGTGGAATAACAGGTGCATTAAAATTATGAATCTAGGTCTAGACCTAAATCTAGAGCTAGTATTATAAATAAAAAAATAGTCTAGAACTATATTTAAAGAGTTTAATTTAAAACTTAAAAGAAGAACTCACCTGAGCATCCTTTGTTGGTAACGCATTGAATGACTCGAGGAGCAAGGCTCTATTCTCTTCTTTGACTGTTTGAAAGCATTTAAGTCTTATACATTTACAGTCAAGGCGAGTTACATGAGATGACAACCTCTGTTTCTTTGCTATGTCTTTCTTACTGCCATTTTTCTTTCTCTTTTTTGGCTTGTCTGTAACAATAGGTGTAGCATCGTAGTCAGCCATTTTGTTTTAGTATAGATTCTTTGTGTACTGGTTACTCAAATGAGCTTGTGTACTGGAACTCAAATGAGCTTAATAAAAACACCCTTTTTTGATCCTTATGAATTTAAAATCAAAAAAGATTTAAATTTACTTTCTATATTACACTTAAACATAAGAAGCATAAGGCAAAATTTTGAAAAGTTTAAAGAATTTCTATCTATTATAAATTACACGTTCGACGTCATATCTCTGTCAGAGACTTGGCATGATTCAGAATGTCCTCTAGAGTTGAATTCTAATTATAGTTTGGCAAATTACAAACTAATTAGCCAACCACGAGGAAGCAATAAAAAAGGCGGAGGCATAGGTGTTTACATGCTCAAAAAGTATTAATTTAAAATAAAAAAGCTATTAAGTGTAGCAAATAATAATTATGAAAGTCTTTTTATTGAAGTAATTAATGCTAAAAACAAAAATAGTATAATTGGATGCATGTACCGACCACCTAGTGGTAAAATTAGATCATTTCAAGATTTTATCGAAAAAAGTATTTTAAAAACAAACAACGAGAAAAAAAATTTATTTATCCTTGGTGATATAAATTTGAACGCACTAACATACCAGAAATTTCCAAAAACAAAATCTTTTTTTGACATGTTATATAAGTACAATGTTTTGTCAGTAATTAATAAACCGTCAGGGTTTATTAATTAACAGTATACATTATTTTATAAAAAGTTGCAAGAAGTAAACCTTCCCCTCAAATTACCAGATATTTTTTTAAATAATAAAGAAATAAAACAGGAAGACTCTATAAAGTTCTTAGGGATACTTGTTGACAAGCACTTATCTTGGCTTCCCCATATTAAATATTTGCAATTAAAAGTTAGTAAAACGATCGGCATGATGTACCGAGTTCGTCCTTACGTTAATAGTATATGTCTTAAATTAATTTATTTCTCCTTAATTCATTGTTTTATTAGTTATGCCAATATTACATGGGGCAACACGCAAACTACAAAACTTAAAAAAATACTTAGTGTTCAAAAACATGCGTGTAGAATTATATACGGAAAAAAAAGAAGGGAGCACACTAAACCATTTATGCGTGACATGAAAATGATGAATATTTATGAAATAAATATTTATCAACACTTAATTTTCATGTATAAGTTTACAAATAACCTAACTCCAGTAAATTTTAATTGTAAGTTTAAAAAAAATATAAATGAAAAGTATTTCCTTAGAACAAACCAATCAAAATTCTTTAAATTGCCTAAGAAACTAACTAAGTATACAGAGTTTTCAATAGCATTTCGGGGACCAAAGATATGGAACTATTTTCAAAAAAAAGAAGCTAAAAAAGATAATATGGTAAAATCATTAAACTCATTTAAGTTGCAAGCAAAAAAACACATTTTTAATTCTGAGGAATTACAAAAATTCTTTTAAGTTTTATCAAAATAGTTTTACTATTTTATTCTTTAAAATATTAATATTACATTTATTTTTTGTAGTTATTTTATGCATTGGTTTTTATATGTTAAACCCTTGAGTATTTATATTTGAAGTTTTACATCATACTTTTATCTGCAGTTTATTATAACTTTTTGACGACTTTTTATTTTTCTAGGGGCTCTATGAAAAGATTGTGGTGGTATTGTATCACCCATATCTTCTTTGAGTCCCGGTCTGTTTTTTTAAATTGTCTTATTTATTTATATATTTTATTACGTGAAAATCTTATGTAATTGATTTTATTAAACAGCAAAATATATTCAAAACTTAAAAAAAAAAAAAAGGTTACAGCTTACTGATTGGTCCAAAGGGTCACGCAACCCTAAAGGTCATGTGACCTATATGGACCCTTTTTTAAACCCAAATAATTAAATATATGAAGATCACAATAGAAAATCAAAACGGCAGAGTCACATATAACGTTATTATATGGACCCTGCCTTTTCTTTCCTTGTCACTGGTGGACACTGCTGTTTTTTCCATTGTATACCATATTTTCTTATTTCATTTTACCATAGACTATGTCGCTTTTTTCATTTGAAACTTGGCTTAAAAGAAGCATTTTTCAATGCTTTATTACCTAAGGGCCATAACTAAAAAATTATAAAAATGTGACTGCCGTTTTTTCCATTGTGGTCTTCATATATATATATATATATATATATATATATATATATATATATATATATATATATAATATATATATATATATATATATATATATGGGCTTACAATCAAACAGAAGATTGATTATAAGCCCATATATATATATATATATATATATATATATATATATATATATATATATATATATATATATATATATATATATATATATATATATATAACATATATATGTTATATATATATATATATATATATAACATATATATAAAGCATGGAAAATAGCAGCCTGTCAACGGTCAATGACCCCCTGAAATGACCAAAAATGCTATTTCGGCCTCCCAAAATGAATTCTTGGTGTTCATGGTCAAAAATCGATCGGTTAAAAAAAAAATTAGAGATTTAAAACAAGGTTTGACAAAATATCAGGATGTTATTTTGAAAATGCATATAATAAAATTTTGATAAACTATTTGAATTTTTGAAAAGGGTTTTAAATAGTTTTCTTGTATATGATATGCTACTTTAATTGCCAGCAGGTCGTTAAAGCAAAAAGTTTGAAAGCAAATAGAATTTAAAGCGAATTTTTTCTTTAATTTTTTTATTTTGATACTACCTATTTTGATACTACCTTTTATCTTTGTTTTCGAAATGTTCAAATAAATTTATTTTTTATAAATTTAATTCAATAAATTAAAATTAAAAACTTATTAATAATTTATATCAATATAATTCAATAATTAAAATTTAATAATTTATTAATAATTTAATATTATTAATTCCGGTACTTATAATATATTCGAGTCAAGGCTGGTGCAATGGGGGTGTGGGGGTGTGACACCCCCGATTAATGATTTTTTCGTTCATTTAGTCTTTAAATTTGACCCTTTGTGACTAGTTAGTCTACAAATGTAGACCCTTTCGACAAGTTAGTCAGTAAACTTAGACAGTCAGTCAGCAAATGTCGTAATGGCCGGGCAGTCGGCAAATTTTAAAAACTTTTTATTTTTTAGACGGCAAAAGTTGTAATGGCACCCCCTCCCCCCACAAGACACCTCGCGTCGGCCCTGATTAAGTATAAATAAAATTTATTATTGTTAAAACTTCTTTCTAATAATTATTGCATACTAATAGAAACTAGTAATTTTTCTGCTTTAATGACCCTAAACTCATTAATTCTCTTTATTGACAAATGTATTGCTCAAAACTTATGTAACCGATACGTAAGGACATAAGCTATAATCATTATAATCATCAGTTTTTTGTTTCTTAGTAAAAAATTTTTTTTCTTAAATGATTGAAGTTCTTATTTTATTACTATTTTAATACAAATTTTTATGTTTTATTTTGTTAATAATTCAATATAAAATTAATTATGTTTAAAACTATGAACAGTTTTTCTTTCATCTGTACTTGATTTGTTTTATTATTTATTTTCTTGCAAGTTTTGCAGCAAATTGTAAATAAATGAATGAATGTTTTATAGATAAATTAAAAATTAGTAATTGAGCGTTTGCGCTTTTTTTTTTTTTGTAACAGGGTGATTAAAAATTATATATATATTTATATAGATTTATTAAAAATCTCGTTTTATATAAGTTTAATAATTTTTATAGTGTTTTATTAAATAAATTTTTTATTATTTTAAAATTTAAAATTTGTTTCATTAAACAAATTGTTTAATACAAAGAAAACAAATGTTTGAAAATATTTAAAGTATTAAACATTCAGTTTAAACAGTTAAAGTTGCAAACAAGAGTTAGTAACATTATTATTAACTAATTAAATTTAACGGTTTTTGAAATGTTTTTAATAAGCAAGAGATATAAAATGTGTAAAAGTTTCTCTTCTTTAACTTCAGAGATTTATTTCATTATTATTCAAAATTATTATATGTAATAAAGAACATAATCTCAACTGTACTTATTTGTTCATTTAATCTTATCTATTATTTTTCGCTTGGCTTTTCCTACTGTTTACAAAGTCATTGCAATGAAATGAATTATTTTAAAATAAATTAAAAATTATAAATTATTCATATATATATATATATATATATATATATATATATATATATATATATATATATATATATATATATATATATATATATATATATATATATATATATATATATATATATATATATATATATATATATATGAATAAGTTTTAATAAAATTATAGGAGAAGAAATACCATAATAAGGCAAGTTTTGTGATTGGCTTCGACCCAAATTCTGAGGTAGGGTTCTTTCTATAATTGTTTTCTATTTTTTATAATGGGATTTTTTAGTTACTTTTATAAAATAATTTAGTTTTATGTATTTAAAAATTTAGGAAGCAGAAAATCAACGAAAGAAAAGAGAGCAACGCTTTGGAACAAAGTATTTAGATTCCAACTTACAGAGTATAAACTTACAGAATAAGAAACTTACATTAAACAAATTAGGAACATTTGATGAGATAAACTTGGAAAATATTTTGTAAGGTTATTTTGTTTTATGTTCATTAAATTTTATTAATTGTATAAAGTGTCATCGCTACCTAATATTTTTTTTTTTTAATTTTTCACCATTATTTATTTTATTTTAATCCAACAAAGTAAAGCTAAAGTTTTTATTCAAACTATTGTTATAGTATTTTTAACATTTTATTGTTTTCACGTGACATGAATTAAAAAACACTATATGCATTGTTATAATATGACATCTATCTGTTTAGTATACTAACTATACAGTTTTTATTTATAGGTGGCCAAGTGTTCCTAAAGATATTAATAATGAAATTCGACAAGATGCTATTCTTTTGTATGGTGTAAACAATATGAGTACAAAAGATGTTTTTAATTATTTCCATCTTTATGGACCAGAGAATCTTGAGTGGATTGATGATTTTTCATGTAAGATGTTTTAAATACTCTCTCTCTCTCTCTCTCTCTCTCTCTCTCTCTCTCTCTCTCTGTATATGTATATGTGTGTGTGTTTGTCTGTCTTCTCCATTTGACCACCACTTTTGCGCTCAAGCCTTTTCACGTTTGCCTGCATGTCCTCAAAAATTTAAACAAGCGCATAAAAAAGTGCTTGCCAAGAAAATAAATGTGTTTTAAATTACAGCAAATCTTTTTTTTTCATCAAATACTGTTATGAAAAATCATAAAACACTTTTATGCATTAATTACTTTATTAAGGATTTAGCAAAACGTTCATTTTGCAGTTTATATTTTAATTACCTTATTTAGTATTTAAATAAAAAAATTATTTTTGCCATTCTTAGTTATATTATTATATTTTCTCTTTACCATCAGTAAATGAAATTACAGGTAAACTTAACAATATTTAAAAAAGTATACTTATTTAAGTGTAAATTACAACCAGTAAAACTATACGACAATTTTGTTAACCTTAAATACTGACGACTAGAGGGAATATTTTCCACAGTTAGCTCCTCCATCAAAGTTTTAAAAATTGCTTTTTGTTTTTTTAAGTTCCATAACTGGAACGAGTCTTTTAATATTATGACAACATCTGCTTGCAGGTTTTGTAAATTTAATTTTTTTTCCTTCTATCTTTCAATTGAAGAAGTTGCCGAGAGTGATACATATAGCAATCACTTCATTTGTAAAACACTTTTTAGTATGTGTTGCCAATAATTGCTTTAATATTAGTGAAGAGCAAGTTTGATTTTTCGACAGCCTGATAAAAAGATTTACTTTGTTTTAAAAGAAATTAGTTGAAATATTTAAAAAAATAAATGCACGTAGATTTTTCTACATTTTAAGATACTAAAAAATGATTTTAAAACTACTCTTCCAACGGCATCTATTTTGCTAAGAAAACTGGTTTTATATTTGCATAGCTTATGACCATTTATAAGTTTTGGAACTGTTAATGAGTTATATAAAGGAACTAATGTTGACTGCTGGCAAAAATTCCATTGTCAATTAAAGCTATGCAATGGATGTTATAACTATTTTATTTAGGGGAAAAAAAAAAAATAATTTTGACGTTTTTTTAAAATCATTTTATTTACAATTTAATGAAAATGTTCGAGATTTTTTCAGTCGTTTCTTTTAGAACTTAAATAAAAGATTGGTTTTATTTGTTTTTTCTTTTTTTATTTTAATTATTTTGTTTAATATTTATAAAAAACTTTGTTTATTTGTAATTTTTAGACTTTTTTTTTTAATTATTTCATCTAGAATCTAAATAAAATGTCTGTTTTGCTTTTTTTTTTTTTTTTTTTTAATTATTTTATCTAGTATTAAAAGCATTCTATTTGTTGTTTTTATTTTAATTTAAATTGTTTTTGTTTAATAATTTTTTAAATCGCGCAGGCCAACCTAAAAATGACCATCCACACACATATATGATATACATATGATACACACATATATTAGATGTTTTTTTGTGTGTGCATATATTATTAATGTTATTTTTTATTAAAAAAAAATGAATTATATTTTTTTGAAATAAATAAGTTTATATATATTTACTCAATCATCCATATTTATTCAAATAACATAAGAAATGAAAAATATGCTTTAACTTAATAAGTTTCTATTTTGAATTTTTGCATCATTAGATTATTTTTGTATCATTAGATAATTCAAATCTTTAGAATATAATACTTTGATAAAAATCATGACATAAACAAGTTACATAAATTTAAAATAGTTAAAGTAGGATTTAGCATTTATTTACAAAAGTGTGCTGTTTTAATAATCACTCATTAATCATGCAATTATCAAGTCTGATGTTTATGCAAAGATCATATAACCTAAATAACATAAACTTTAAACTATTTCTGTTAAATTTATTTTATTTCAAGAGATTTAGTTATGCTATTGTTTTTCTGGAGTGAATTTTGATAGCACTAATAGTTTAATATAAGTTTATATAATTTATATTAATTTATATATTATAAATATAAATTTATATATATATATTATAAATATATATATTATAATTTATATATATATTATAAATATAAATTTATATATATATATATATATATATATATATATATAGTATATATATATATATATATATATATATATATATATATATATAGTATATATATATATATATATATATAGTATATATATATATATATATATATATATATATATATATAGTATATATATATATATATATATATATATATATATATATATATATATATATATATATATATATATATATATATATATATATATATATATATATATATAATTTATATATATATTATAAACATAAATTTATATAAATTTTTGGTTATTTATATAATTTTGGTTATAAATTTTATTATTTAAATGGAAAGAAAACAAAAGCTGTCTGTAGAAAAAGTCTACATTATATTATATTTCCGGATTTTTTCCCTAAACAATTTTCTGGATATTTAAAATATGGCCTGGATGATCTATGCATATATACACATATATATATATATGTATATATACATATATATATATATATATATATATATATATATATATATATATATATATATATATATATATATATATATATATATATATATGTATATATATATATAAACATATATATATATATAAACATATATATATATATAAACATATATATGTATATATATATATATATATATTGCATGCTCTATTTGTCAGTCAATGTATATATATATATACATATATATATATATATATATATATATATATATATATATATATATATATATATATATATGTATATATATATATATATGTATATACATATATATATGTGTATTATCAAAATCATAGTGCTTGAAGTGGATAAAAAAAGTAACAGGATGGTATATCGTAAAATAAGGTAAAATAATTTCTTGTAAAGGTTCTTCTCCTTTACAAGAAATTGTACATATATATATATATATATATATACATATATATATATATATATATATATATATATATATATATATATATATATATATATATATATATATATATATATATATATGTATATACATATACATATATATATGTGTATATGTTTGTATATATATATATATATATATATATATATATATATATATATATATATATATATATATATATATATATATATGTATATACAGTGCTTGAAGTGGATAAAAAAAGTAACAGGGTGGTATATCGTAAAATAAGGTAAAATAATTTCTTGTAAAGGTTCTTCTCCTTTACATGAAATTGTTTATTTCAGCATTATTCAACAAGGTCACTTTTTTTGTTCCAGCTACAATAATCGATGGTCAGTCATTCCCAGCTACAACAGTCAATAATCAGTCAATTCCAGCTTTCATAGAAAGTGGTTTACTTTGAGTTGCAATTGTGAATTTTTCATATTAGTTATTAAAACACTTGCAACAATTATGCTTGCTGTTCCCATTAACTAAATTTTTCACAATTTGAAAATTTAACATCAATCTTTCATTTTTATTTTTTTAATAAAACTCAAAAGTTATAATGTCAGTATGTTTAGTTATTTCTAAAACTTTTAAAGTTTTTTTGACAACTTGGCAGTTTATCAAAACAATAAGCAAACAAATATTTTTTTAATGCAGGACAAATTGTTTTTTATACTTTTTTGCAAAATGCAATGACATTGTAAATTAAATATTACAATCTATTCAAATACTATGTTTAACATCAATCATGTTTGTATAATGTAAAACTATTAAAACTAGTAATATACATTCATCAAATAATTAAAGAAATAATAAAAACAATTACCATTTTAATCCCTAAAACAAAATGCGATAGTGGTAGAGCGCTTGCCTCATAAGTGATAAGTTAGATCCCCACCACATCCTTGGTAGTACTGCACTCAATTTGTTTCTTCATGCAGTGGCCTTGTTCATTGAGGTTCATGTTTTGGAGTTATAGAGTTGAGAGAGAGATGTAATCACACAAAAAAAAAGTAGCCTCCTTGATTGTAGTGCCCTTCTCAGCCTTGAGGGGGTGAATAACCTTTTATTTTGTTCAAGGATCGTTTTTAAATGGAGTCATGTTTATAGAAACATATGAAATCATGTTCATATAGAATTAGTTTCATTGCACTTTAATAGAACAATTGATATTAAAGAACTAATTTTCGAATTTTTATTCAGAAAATGGTTTTTAAATGAGTGAACTTTTTGTTTTTATATAAGTGGAATATTAAACTGCTCAATGATTTGAAAAATGTTTTATTGAAAAAACTATATTAATTAAAATTGAAAGTTTTAGCAATTCATGTTCTATTTATATGCTTAAAAACACTTTTTAATTCTTGCATTTATATAAATTCTTGTATTTAGGCAATGTTGTGTGGGAAAATGAGAGCTTAGTTGTAAAAGCTATTGAATCTATGAGTAAAACTTACATTATGTTAAGACAGTTAAAGAAGATTGCAGGTAATAAATTTAACTTACAATTATGTATTATTTAGAAGAGCGTATTTTAAGAAATTCTAAATCAAATTCATTTTTACAAAAAAATATTTTTTTAAAATGAGGAAATTTTTTTGATTTTTGCTAAAAATAATAATAAAAAAAAACAATATATATATATATATATATATATATATATATATATATATATATATATATATATATATATATATATATATATATATATATATATATATAATTATATTTTATTTAGATGAATAAAAACAGCTGATTAGCGGGACTAATAAGATTGCCCGAAGGCAATCATCAGCCGTTAATACAAACAAAAACATAAACAATCCGTTACAAAAACGTAAAAATTAATGTAGAATGACATCTGACGTTATAAACAAATCTATGTAAAAAACACATCAAAAATCATAAAACAAAAAGCCAGTATAGTTTAATTACAGTATTGGACAAAACATTTGCAACCAACATCGAACAATACTGAAAAGTGTTCCTAATTTTACGTTTTAAAAACGAAACGAACTATACTACCACAGCAAACAGTTCAGGAGTCTGGAGTCATAGCATGCCATGATATGAGCAATCAGCTGACAGGTGACAGCACACAGGCAGAATTTCATTCACAAGTGCCATTTTGCAGCGGACAAAACAAGTGCAACTTTTTTGGTTTGTTTCATTTTCTTAAGTCTGGTCCTTGTCAACGTCACGGAAGTTTTTAATAATTAAAGGAAGTATCCAGAAGTTTCCAGAAGCATGCAGAAGCTTCCAGAAGTTTCCAGAAGAAGCATCTGGAAGCATCCAGAAGCATCCAGAAGTATCCAGAAACATTCAGAGGCATCCAGACGCATCCAGAAGCTTCCAGACGCATCGAAAAGAAGCATCTAGAATCTTCCAGAACAGTTTCATTTTACTATATAAGAGACATTTAAACCGACATGTAATTCAGTCAGTATATGGAAGTCAATCAGTCAGTATTATCAAGACAGTTTATCGAAGTGAGCTTTATCAAAGTGTTTTATTGAAGAACATCAATATAAAAAGTGAAATACAACAAGTGTTTCATTACATCAATACAGTCCATATCCAACCAAGACGCTGTTTTTTTAAATTAAAGGAGCATATTTAAAATTAATAAATTTTATCCAACCATGAGGTATATAAAAAAATTAAAATAAACGGATCCTCTAACTGTTTTTTTACTTTGAAAGACCACAAAGAAAACTCTGTTAACAATCCATCTGTGCACCTTTGACTCCTTCAAAAAATGAGGTAGGATGAATTACTAAAGTAATTTTAACAAAAATTAATTGTAAACTTGAAAATAAATTTTTTTTGAATCAATGGCAAAGTACGCAAAATGTTGTATATTGGTTTAAAAAAATCACCAATAAGCACTTATACAAATTCCTAGTTTTTGATGTTAATGATTTTTACTCTTCCATAAATGAAAACACCTTCAACAATGCTATGAATTTTGCTGACCATCATATCATTATCAAAAGCGAAGACAAAGCATTGATAAAGCAAAAAAATCTCTTATCTACAAAAATGATGAAACATGGATTAAAAAAAGAGGTGGGTTGTTCAATGTAACAATGGGGGCATTTGATGGTGCTGAAGTTTGCAAATTAATAGGTATTTTCATACTGTATCAAATTTCACAACATTATAATAAAGAAGATTTTGGACTATATCATGACAACAGTCTTGCTGTATTTAAGAACAAAAATCGTCAGCAAATAGATAAAATAAAAAAACATATAACACATTTTTAAAAGAAATGATCTTCAAATCATCATTCAATCTAATTTAAAAATTGTTAACTACCTCGATGTTATGTTAAATCTAAATAACAATACGTTTCAACCATGTTTTAAACCTGATAATCAAATAAGGTACATCTACTCTAATTTTAATCACCCTCCAAGCATAATAAAAGCAATCCCTTCCAATATTGAACAAAGATTATCTTCCATGTCAATTAATGAAATATTCTTCAAAAAGGCTATTCCACTGTATGAAGAGGCTTTTAAAAAATCGGGATACAAATCAAACCTTACCTACCAACCACAATTAATCTCAAGTCAAAATCAACAAAAAAAGCATCGTAAACATAATATTTGGTATAACCCTCCATTGCTGGCCACAAGCTACACAAAATATTCAACCAAAATTTTATTAAGATCAGCTACAGTTGCATGACTAACCTAAAATCTATCATAAATTTGTATAATTTTAAAATTTTACACAACAAAAACAATTAAAAACCAACCAATGTAACTGGGTAGATAAAGCATTTTGCCCTTTTGATCAATCAATGTTTATCTAACAATATTGTCTACTAAGCAACCGTAAGTTCCAATCATTATGATCATAATAAAAAAGTATATTTTGGCATTAGTAATACACCATTTAAACTAAGATATGCAAACCATCTCAAATCATTTTCATCAGTTAAGTATAGAAATGGCACAGAACTGTCTAATTAAATATGGAGCTTAAAAGACCAAAACATAAAGCCTATTATAGAAAATTGTCAAACGTAAAAATATGTTATTTTATCACATAATGGGAAAAACCTACTGAATAAAAAAATGAAATCGTATCTCAGTGTCGACATTAAATAAAATTCTTATTATCTTTATTTGACACTGAGGACTAGTAAACTATAATGGTTTTTTTGGCTTTTTGTTTTTTGTTTTTTGATTTGCTTTTTACGTAGATTTGTTTATAATGTTAGATGTCATTCTAGAGTACTTTTTACATTTTAGTAATGGTTTGTTTACGTTTTTTGTTTGTATTAAAAGCTGATGATTACCTTTGGGCATGAAGCTTTAATTTCCACTAATCAGTTGTTTTTATTTATCTAAATAAAATATAATTATATATAGTTCTATTATTCAGTAATATTGAGCACTGTAACACATACAAAAGATTTCGTATTATTACATCAAAATACTTAACCTCGAATATATTCTATATATTGATATCTATGCAAATATATATATATATATATATATATATATATATATATATATATATATATATATATATATATTTCCAAAGTTTCTTTTCAGCACAAAATATGTAAATATTCTAATAAATAAGACAACTTTTTTAATTTTTGTTAAAATCATTTATTTTATAATACATTTTTTGACTATATCATAGCCATCATCAGTTAAAATATATAAAAATGCTTAAATCAAATTATTAAAATTAAACCTATAGGGACCTTATAATAAAAAGTACAATAAAAATGCAATTAAAAAATGTTTTAAAAAAGATAAAGATAAAAGAACCGTTAATGTTAAAAGGAACTAGATTGAATTGTCCTTTTTACATGGTTCATTTGTTTATTAATAGTGGGTTTTTCCCACTCTATGTACATGCTTTCTTTGAGTTTTAATATAAATTTGTTGGAGGACGAATCCAAGATTGAAAAACTAGCATGATTAAAACTATTAAACAGCTTTCATTTGAATGAATATGTTTATAAATGTGTGAGTTTTTATCCCTTTTTTAGTGATCAATTATTTGTGTCTTTAAATGGCGAGTAGTTTCGCCATTATAACAAGATTTACAGCCTGCGCATTCAAATTTATAAACAACGAATGAATTAAAGGCCCAAGGAAAGGGATCTTTTGTGGAAAAAAATTTTGAAATTTTAAACAAAGTAAAAACTAATCTTATGGTGATGGATTTACAATATCTTTTAATGGTTGCGTTTAGTCTTGGTTAAATATAAGGAATATAAGGAAGTTTAAAATATTGATATTTTTCCAATATAAGGAAGTTTAAAATATTGATATTTTTGTAGGTTTTCAGAACATGATGAAATGTCGTCATTGATGTTGTTAATATAAGAGCTATGGGTTTTCTTAATCAACCAAGACAGGTACAAGTTGCATTTGAGAGCTTTAAAAAGATCGTTAATATCATGACTAAGACCGAGACTAGTGTTGTTTATTTTATAAGCTCTATGGATTAAACATTTAACCAGACTAAATTTGTATGAAAATAAGGTAAAACTAAAAAAATTTGTATAGAGTCAGGATAAAGTTTTTTTTATAAAAAACAGTGGTAATTGTGGAATTGTATGTTTTATTTAGAGTTAGGTCCAAAAAAGATATTTTTGATTGAATTTCTTTTTCTGTTGTAAAAGTAATAGAACTATGTTTATTATTGATATATTCCAAGAATAAATCGGCGTGATTTTCGGAAGTGAAAGCAGCAAAAATGTCATCTATATACCGTTTATAAAAAGCTGGTTTTAACAAATGAACCATGTAAAAGTGGCAATTTCAATCTAGTTCCATTAACATTACCAGTTCTTTTATCATTTTTAAAACATTTGTTACATTTTTTAATTGCATTTTTGTTGTATTTTTTATTATAAGGTCTCTATTAGTTCCATTTTAATAATTTGATTTAGGAATTTTCATATATTTTAACTGATGATGGCTATAATATAGTCAAAACATGTATTATAAAATAAATGATTTTAACAAAATTTAAAAAAGTTGTCTTATTTATTAGTATATATATATATATATATATATATATATATATATATATATATATATATATATATATATATATATATATATATATATATATATATATATATATATATATATATATATATATATATATATATATGTATACATATATATATATATAAATATATATAAATATATATATATATAATATATATATATATATATATATATATATATATATATATATATATATATATATATATATATATATATATGTATATATATATATATATGTATATATATATATGTATATATATATGTGTGTGTATATATATATATATATGTGTATATATATGTATATAATTTTTATATATATTTATATATATAAATATATATATATATATATATATATATATATATATATATATATATATATATATATATATATATATATATATATATATATATATGTATATATATATATATATATAT